GAGTCAAAACAACAGTCCAAGCAGTGGGTAGAAGCTGGTGGCTCTGCACCGAAGAAAGCAAAGACAATTGCATCGGCTGGAAAGGTTATGGCTAGTGTTTTTTGGGATTCCAAAGGGATTCTTTTAATTGACTACCTGTCAAAGGGTCAAACAATTAATGGGGAATACTACGCACATCTTCTTGACCAGCTAGATGAAAAAATTAGAGAGAAAAGGCCTGGTTTGCAAAAGAAAAAAATCCTCTTTCACCAGGACAATGCACCCGCTCACAAAGGTGCTTTGGCAATGGGAAAATTGAGGGATTTGAAGTATGAATTATTGGAACATCCTCCCTATTCGCCAGATTTGGCTCCCTCTGACTTTCATTTATTCCCAAATCTTAAAAAATTTTTGGCGGGAGAACATTTTGGATCAAGTGAAGAGGTGATAGCAGCGATAAATGGATATTTTGAAGACCTTCCAGAATCGCATTTCAGGGATGGAATACTGTTATTGGAGAAACGTTGGACAAAGTGTATTGAACTAAAGGGAGACTACATTGAGAAATAAATGCACTTTTAAAATAAAAAACTCATTTTTTCACTACTAGGCCGAGAACTTTTCACCTTGCCCTCGTATGTATGTTCATTAGCACTTCACTTGACTTCATGATTTATTAAAAAAACTTGTACATATTTGTTTTGATGCTATTTTTTGCCCATTGAGTACAACAATCACTCAATATTAGCAATGTCATGTACAGTACAGCCTATTCATTTATGTTAAAACTTGTCAGGAAGGACTTGGAAGGATATGATGGCCTTGCTAAATTTTATCACTATACTTTGACCAGAAGTAACTTCCTTCCACTAATTAATGTGTTACAAGAGGGAGTTGATATGTGGCTGCAATGTTAGCAATGTGAACTATGATGATTATGCATATATTTTGTTCTGCATGCAATGTATTTTTTTTAAATTCAGTACCTGGAATTGCCCAAATATTAATTAAACATTGAAAAAAAAAATGTTTACAGTAGATGGGACTAGAAAAAGTCCATTATTCTGAGTTATGGATCTGCTAAAAGGAAGTGAAATTACATTGATTTGGCAGAACCAGGGGAAAGCCATTATTCCAAGAAATTCTTTGTTTTGTGATTCATTAAAATGAGATTCTACTGTATTTATGTATCTTTATTTTCTCTGAAGAAAATCAAATATATTATAATAAGTACTTTGAAAAAATTTCTGAAATATTCATAATTACTGGTACTATTCTTTTCAATTTAAAATTAAAAATCTTTGTTAATTTTTTTTCTAGGTTCTTGCTAAAGATGGTCAAACAATAGTAGGAAGGATTACAAAGCAATGGTCTGGTTTTGCAAAAGAAGCTTTTACTGATGCTGATAATTTTGGTATAAATTTTCCTATGGATTTGGATGTTAATATTAAGGCTGTTCTCCTTGGGGCTTGTTTTCTCATTGTAAGTTTGTACTTTTGTATTACTTGTTTTTAAAATATTATTATTAAATTGTTATTTAACATAACAAAATATATAGGTATTATTAGTGATAAGAACAAACAATACCACTGGATTTGAATTAGGATAATAAATTATAGTCTGGTTTTAAAATCTGTTTATCTGGTATTGTTTATTACTATATGTTGGGCTTGATATTATAGTAGTACCTCAGGATACGAAATTAATCTGTTCTGAAACTGAGATTGTATCATGAAAATGTCGTAAGGTGAATCATTTTTTTCCCATATGATTACATGTAAAACCAAATAATCCGTTCCAACACGAAAAAACACACTCAAATTAAAGCCAAGTAATACATTGAAAAAACTTTAATAAGGAAAACACTAAAAAATGTATTTTGTAGTTGTAAATGTATAAATAACCATAATAGAATAATAATTGATAAAAAAAGTTTAGTTTTATTTGCACTTTACCTTTGAGGATAGACAATGGTGGAGGTGTAAACTGGTGGCGGAGAAGGGAAATGATACTAAAACTTATGATACTAAACTTAATATATATAACAACACTAATTTTTTTAATCTTTTTTAAGTTATTTTTAAGTTACAGTAATACCTCGACTTACACTACCCCGACTTACGCGACCCAGAGTTATGTGATTTTCAAATCTTGTCGATTTGTCTTTTGTTAGAGCGCCACGCAACTCTTGATTACTCACTTCCCCCACACTCCCCCCTTCAACTTACATGTTTGGACGTATCGCGTGGAATCGACACATAGCTACAATTTATTTTGTGTTATTTATTTCTGTGTTTGTTATATCTACAGAGACTTGAGAGACTCTATGTGGTGATTTCTTGCAACCGTGAACGAATCAAAAGACGAGATAAGATTAACGAGAACATTTATTAGCTTACATACGTCCGACTTGGATTTTACACAAATTGCAAAATTATACCCGAATTTGACTTATGCAGTTATCGCTCAGTCCCACCTATTGCGTAAGTTCAGGGTATTACTGTATTTTTACATTATGTTATGTAAGTTAAGTTTTAGTATCATTTCCGTTCTCCCCTCCTATATAAAAATATATATATATATATATATTTTTTTATTTTTACATTTTTATTCACTTTTTGCTTTCTTTCCTTCACTTCCACCAGCACTTTCGCTGGATAGAGTTTGCTTGGTAAAATATCTATCCAAAGAGGTTTGGCTTTGCCTACTTTTTAAAATGTTTCTAAAATGACTTAGGCAAATGTCATTACTCCGAGCAGCAATACAGCCAGTGTGAACCTTTTTGGGATGTTTCTTTTCAATAAAATCAGTCACTTTCTGATAATACCTCAAGATTTCCTTTATC